CCACTCCTAGATCTCTGCCACTCCTAGATCTCTGCCACTCCTAGATCAGAGTTACAGAATTGTTCCTTGCAAAGAGGCTATTCAGCCCATTGTGCCTGTACCAGCTCTCTAATCATTTTGACTGTGCCAGTCTCCTGTTCCCTGTAACCTTGCACAATGTTTCTACTTAAATAATTAATTTAATAGCCTGTCGCCATCACCATACCTCCAGGGAATGCATTCCATACTCTTACTGCTTGCACTTGCTTCTTTTGTAAAATACTTTAAAACTGTGCTTTCTGTTTCTTGATCTATTTACAAATAGGAACTGTTGCCCACTATCCATTGAACAGTCCAGGCCCCTTACAACTTTACAAACTTCTATCAAATCCCTTCTTTGTCTTCTCTTCTACAAAGAAAACCGTCCCAAGACCTCTAATCTTTCCTCATAACAAGTATCTCAGTCCTGGAACCATTCTCAGAAATCTCTTCGGCACTCCCTCCATTGCATTCACATCCTTCCTGTAGCATGATGCACAGAACTGTAAACAATACTCCTGATGAAGTTTAACCAATGTCTCATGTAAGTTAACCTTAACCGCCCAGCTCATGTACTCTAAGCCAGTATTTATGAAGCCTAAAATACTTTATGTTTATTAACAGCTCTATCTATCTGCCCTGATACCTTTTATGGACATGCACATTGGTTTCTCTCGACTCCTGCAAGAATAAAACCCTTTAATACTGTCGGCCAAGCAGCATCAGAGAAGCAGGAAAGCTGATATTTCGGGTCTAGACCTACCCGAAATGTCAGCTTTCCCGCTCCTCTGATGCTGCTTGGCCTGCTGTGTTCATCCAGCTGTACACCCTGTTATCTCAGATTCTCCAGCATCGGCAGCTCCTACTATCTTTTTAATACTGTCTATGCTTTTTGTACCAAGGTATATCACTTCATATATCTCCGCATCAAACTTAATTTGCCACCTATCTGCCCACACCACCAACCTGTCAATGTCCTTTCAAAGCTCTGTGCTGTCCTCACAGTTCACAATCCTCTTAAGATTTTTGCAAGCTTTGAAACAGTCCTCTGCACACCAAGATCTAGATCATTTATATATTTCAGGAAAAGCAAGGACCCCAATACTGACCCCTGAAGAATTCCACTACACACGTTCCTCTAGCCCAAAAGTAGCCATTAACCATTACATTTTACTTCCTATCCCTTTGTCGATTTTCCACCCAGATTGCTGCTGACCCTCTTCTTCCATGACCTACAACCACACTCACAAATCTGTTGAGTGACATTATTGAACGCCTTCTAAAAATCCATGCATACCACATCAACAGCCTTCCCTTTCTCAACATTCTCTGTTACAGCTTCAATAAAACTCCTGCAAGTTAGTTTGACACAATTTTCTCTTAAATCCATGCTTAATCTTTCAAATCAATCGTAATTTTTAAATGCAACTATTAACTCTATCTTGAATAATTGCTGCAAGGATGAAGAAAGCAATACATATGGGGAAGAGGCAAAGCATGCTCACTTTCTTCAAACATTTCCATCCTTGAATAGTCTTGGGAATCCTTCATTGCCATTGATTCATGATCTGGATGGAGGCAGTAACTTAAGCAAAATGGGAAGTGGACACACCATCTTTCACTCTGACGCACAGCATGTTGGTGCATTATTACCTTTTCCTCCAACACTACTTTTGTTGATATGTTAGGAAATTTTTAACATTTTAAATAAAATTCCAAATTGTCACGTTCTTAATTAAGCTATCAAACTGTAACTGGAAAAGCAAGTAACAACTGTTGTGATGATACTATAACCTTGTTTGATCGAATTTGCTGTTTTAAAATTTAATTCAAGGGGGATGGATTTCCTCTGTGCTCTATATAAAACAAAACAATAAACATCCTTGTAATTTTAGATCAAAGGAGGTCTTCTCCCATAGGTCAGATGATGCTAATGTGTTTACCATTACAAACAGATTGCTAGTATGTAATGAAATGAAAAATATATCCAATACATCTTTTTGAAAACTAATCATATTAAAATACATATAAAAACATATACATACAAAAACATATACATAAAAAAACAAAGATGTACCATTTCTTAAAAGTGCAATTACTTAATTAAAACAGAGAAAACCTCATACTCCTGACAACTTCTCTTGCAAAGAGATAGTAACAATCTTCTCTTTAAGTGTTCCCTTAAATTTGAGAACCATTCCAAATTATTATTGCATATTCCCCATACCAAATTTCAGAAGTACCAGGCAGCATGTCAAAGAAACAAACCAGGTGATTTTCATGTACAGTCCAACTCCTTTAAAGGAAATAAAGGCAGACATTTTCTAATCAACCTGTTAAGTAACACAGGCAAAGGCCCTCCGTACAGTGGCATCACCCGCTGGCCATTTTCACGTTTAATGAAGTGCTAAGCTCCTACTTTTCCTAAATTGATTTTGTGAGAAAACAATATGACTATGAATGTGAGCAGATGGTTGCAGTTTTGTACAATCACTATATTTTAATTTTATGGCTACAGTGCTGAATTTGTTTTCTCAATTTAAGTGTTGGAGAATAAGCCAATAGATTTTGCTACGTTTAAGAGTGAACAGAAATTCCAAGTTTATAACAAAAATGGTCTGAATAGAAAAGCACACTTTGGCATTTCTGCCTAGTCACAGTGAACAAAGAACAAAGAAAATTACATCACAGGAACAGGCCCTTTGGCCCTCCAAGCCTGCACCAACATAAATATGGGAATGGGAAGCGAGATCAGACGGATGCGTGGCTAAAGGGATGATGTAAGAGGGAGGGCTTTACATTTCTGGATCATTGGGACAGTTTCCGGGTTAGTGGGAACTGTACATGCTGGATGGGTTGCATCTGAACCAGAATGAGTCCAATAATCTTGCTGCGAGATTTGCTTGTGCTGTAGGGGAGGCTTTAAGAACTTAAGAACATAAGAAATAGGAGCAGAAGTAGACCATCTGGCCCGTCGAGCCTGCTCCACCATTCAATAAGATCATGCCTGATTTTTTCGTGTACTCAGCTCTCCTTACCTGTCAGCTCACCATAACCTTCAATTCCTTTACTGTTCAAAAATCTACCTTTGCCTTAAAAACATTCAACAAGGTAGCCTCAACTGCTTCAGTGAGCAGGGAAATCCACACATTCACAACCCTTTGGGTGAAGAAGTTCCTCCTCGACTCAGTCCTAAATCTGATTCCCCTCATTTTGAGGCTATGCCCTCTTGTTTTAGTTTGCATAAGATAAAGGTACATGGCGCTACAGGCAATGTATTAGCATGCGGACAGAGGATTGGTTAACTAACAGAAAGCAAAGAGTGGGGACAAATGGGTGTTTTTCTGGTTGGTGATCAGTGGCTAGTGGTGTGTCTCAGGGATCAGTGCTGGGACTGCAATTGTTTAAATTTACATATATTTTGGTTTAAAGCTGGAACATCGCCTTGTCTCAAAACATTATAATTATCTACAAAATGATTTCATGTGGCATACAAACTGAGAAAACAAAGCTATGATTACAACACCATGTATCTTATCTGTTCAACATCGCAACAAGCAAGGTTCAATTAAATTTGCAAACCATTTCTTGGAACAGAGAATTAAATAGGACTGCTAGTACAGTGTATGACAATTAAGCCGTTTGTTCCTATTTATTTTTGTGCACTTTAGTTCAAACAATTGGTATTTTGCCACAACCTAATACAAGGCAATAGTTGAGCTACCATGACTCATTGTTACTTCTGGAAAGGTAATCGCCTGAAACATTTCTCACTACACAGGCACTGCTAGATCTGTCAAGATTTCTAACATTTTGGTCTTTATTCAAATTTGCTTTTTGCCAACCACAGATGGATCTTGTAACAAAGATTCACATGCTAACATAATGTATTATTTTAATGTTACAATATTCTTGATGTGGTAATTCAGAAACAGTTACTTTCCACTCTTCTAAGTTGTTTATTTCTGCCCTTTTAAGACTTCTTTTAAAGCAAAGTCACATTTTTGCTGACGCTTCCTTGGTTCATTTTTTCTGTACAACGCTGTTACTTGCAAGGCTTCCGACTTATGCCAAATCAGTTGTAGTGATTCACTCAAAGGTGAAAAGTGAGTCACAAGTCAACTTAAAGCTGAATAATTATAACCAATGCATGATGTTAAGGAATTTCACTGCAAAATGTGAGCAGTTGTGGAAAACCACCCCAAAAACACCAGCAAAAGCAAAATCATAAGATTTTATACAAGAAATGGAAAACATGGCTTATTCAGTTACCATAAACCAGGAGCTCTGTCTGTATCAGCATGGATCAGAAATGAAGAGAAAGGAAATGTGAAGGAAAAGTGACCATTTTTGTTTTAGGATAAGGCATATAGGGCAGAGAGAAATAACCGACAGAATGAGAAGTAAACAATTCTGCATTACTGTTTCGTACAACAAACTTTAATCACATTTTAATCTTTGCAGACCGTGTTTATGGAGTACCATCATAGAGGAGCAAAATAAACAGGATAGAGTTGCAAATTAACTAAGATTGATTCAAGTCAGCATTTTCTGTGAAACAGTTATGATTAATTATAAATTCAATTTACTCTCACTTCTTACCTTTAATACAGTGTTTACCAGTAGAAGCAGCAGTTGATGGCTTTCATTTAGAAAGAGAGACACAGCCAAGTAGCCTAGCAAAAATAAAGTAAACAGGAAAATATCCATATTACTCAAATTTAATTCCCACACTGTTTCCTTTGCAGAATTTCAGGGTAGCAGACCGCATATTTCATTGAAACCCTCAATCCTACTCCTTGACAAATCTAAGTGTCACATTTATCTGGCACAGGCATGCATTTCAGTTATTTTCTCTACCTGGTCAATCTAGCTGAAGACTGCAGAATTCACAATCCAGACAAAGGCTTCTGTAAACCAAAATAACACAGCAGACTGTGCATCAAAGCTAGAGTCTTCAAATGATCCAACTTCCTAATCTTGCAAACATTTTACTGTCTCCAATCCCAGTTCTATATCAAGTACATATAGACGAAGAAAACTCAAGAAAGTATAGCAACGTGGATGCAACAATCCACAAGAATGTCATTATAAACGCTGGAATTCCCAACAGGAGCCTGAAGCAACTGCAATGTAGTGACTTGTGAGCTTCCATACTATACAAATTGATCAATATTAACTTGAAAATTAAACTTCTGCAATTCTAACTAACATGCAACATTCAAATTATGCAGTTTAGAATTTGTATTTTCTTACCTTTAATAAAAATCAAAGCAATACTTAATAACGCACAAAGTTCTCCAGTCTAGAAATCTATTCTTCAGAAACACCAACTGACTGGAAATATTTTGAGCAAAATCAATTGCCATTAGTATTATTTCAGTACAGTGCTTTGGGAGCAGAGAATGAAAGATATGGTATTTGGCTAAGTAAAATATTTATTACTACTTTTACAGCTGTTTTATGTTTGAAGTTAATGTTAAAATCCATGATATTTCCAGTTCACATACATGAGGTTAAGTATTGTAATGTCACTCTATAATTGAGAGAATTGCAGACAAGAGAGGTTACAAGGTATAATACTTACTTTCCTTCCTCCCAAAAGGTAGTGTCATACTGGGGGAATATGTTTTTGAGTTACTTGTAGTACTATGCCCAGTAACAATTCTTGCTGCATCACCTGGACAAGAACAGTATCTCAGTACGGAGAGCGATTATCGCTGAATTTAATACATCCTCATTTGACAACAACATGCACTTTAAAGAGGTTATTCAATCAAAAGCAGTAGGAAGTCTCTTCCACTTCCCCCGGCTGCATCAAGCCAATTGTAGAATCATCCTTGCTGTGACTGAGATTCATGGACCACAGATCAGCCTGCAATTCTTGTACCCACAGGTACTACCTGGGCGCTGAGTCACCAGAACAGTTTTAACAGGTTATCTATTTAATCAAAGTGCTTGAAGAGGAAACATACCAACTCTTTTTTCCATCAGACTACCCTGCTGAGCTAGTTTGATGGCGTGAATGTATCCAAAGGAAGCCTCATACCCCAGCATTTCACAGTAGATTAGTCGCACCAGACATTCTCGCATCTGCTTCTGCAAAAGGAATAAAACAAAGGATTACTTTCCTCCTGCCGAATACAACTTCTCGTCGAGAGCTAGTTTCACTGGTGTTATTTACTTTCTGGTTGCTTTCCCAAGTAATTATTATTAACAAGTGAGTTTTGGCAATAAGTGCTGGTGAGCCATTCAACAGCAGGGACATTGCATTAAGCTTACTCCAATTTTCAACTAAAATCCGTACTGTTCATTTATACTAGGCGTTGGATAGAAATCAATGGGGAGGTGATGGTCTCGTGGTATTATCACTGGACTGTTAATCCAGAGACCCAGATAATGTTCTGGGGACCCGGGTTCAAATCCTGCCAGGGCAGTTGGTGGAATTTGAATTCAATAAGTATCTGGAATTAAGGGTCTAATGATGACCTGAATTCATTGTCAATTGTCGGAAAAACCCATCTAGTTCACTAATGTCCTTTAGGGAAGGAAACTGCCATTCTTACCTGGTCTGGCCTACATGTGACTCCAGACCCACAGCAATGTGGTTGACTCTTAACTGCCCCCTGGGCAATTAGGGATGGGCAATGAATGCTGCCTAGCCAGTGACACCCTCATCCCATGAATGAATTAAATAAAAATCATTTTCTGGTTATTGTCTCCCTAGCTCTGATGTACAGCTTCAAAAACATGACTAGTGATCAGCATGTTGGCTTCAGGTTTCTGCTGGACAGGCAGTTGTTATCCCAGCATAGTTGGGAGGTGCACAAAGGAACCTGCGGAAGCCCTTTCACAGAACACTCTTCAAAGAATTGCCCAGAAAATTGGATTTTCTGTTGGGCAATTCCGCTGTGCCTAGAACCCTCCAAAGTCCTCATTAAACTGGAGATTTCAAAGGGTTCCAATGATATGAGTTAAAATGGCTACTCAGGAAAAGTTAGGTGATTAAATATGTAGATTAATGCCTGACTAACTCTTAAACTGACACCATACTTACCTCTCACATCCCCAGCTACACCTCCTCCAGACCCTGACACTATACCCCGGTGTCCCAAAACTGCCAGACCAGACCCGACCCAATCCAAACCCCAAGCTGCCAAACCCAATCTGACACCATGCCAGCTATATCCAACACCCACTCTCCCAGCTGCCCCACCAAACCCAATTTCTCCCATCCACCCATGGCACTTTACACATTGGCATCCTATCCCCTTCCTACTTGGCACCATATCCAGCTAGTGTCCTATTACTAGCACTCAACCCTTACTCATCTGACATCCTACCCGTGGCACCTACACCTTCCCCAGCTGGCACCCTACCTAGCTGTCATCCTACTAAGAAACCCATCTGCTACTCTAATAGTACACTTACCATTTCACAGATACAGTCAAAGTTGCCGTCAGGACCTTTACATTTCAGAATTTGGCAGCTGACTGCTACATAAAGCGGGTGTGGTTTGACATCCTCTGAAAGTTCAGCACTAAGAAAGAACTATCAAAATGGAAGCACAGCTCCGCATTTCTAAAGGAGCCAGAATCAGAGTCTCCTCTCAGAAATTGCAGAGCTCCCTTCATTTGTAAAACAGAAGGACCAATGTGGCAAACTGCACAAGACTGACACTCCTCTGTAAAACTCATTTTAATCCCCACATGAAAAAAATGCCGAGTGTCCAGTTTTGAAAAGTAAGTAGTCCTACGATGTGCAGGCTAGGTGGATTGGTCATGCTAAATTGCCCATAGTGTTCAGTGATGTGTAGATTAGGGGGATGGGTCTGGGTGGGATGCTCTGAGGTTCGGTGTGGATTTGTTGGGCCAAAAGGCCTGTTTCCACACTGTAGGGATTCTATGATCTATCCCTTCACTAGTTAATATTGCTGCTCCTACACGTCAGACGACAGTTCCATAATGTCAGCTATCTTTTTGTCAGTAAAATTCCAAACAAATTCTTACAAATGTGTACTTCAGTGATACCAATGGCAGGAGAAATTAGCATGACAAGTTTACATCGGTAATTTTCATTGTAAATATGGATACAGGAATTCGTAATGACCTTTAGAAAATTAGCTATTACGCACAGTTGGACAATTATCCACTGTTCATCATTCACATTTCACCCTAAAGGTTGATCTTAACTCCCTAAATGCAAAGTCATGCGAGTGGGCTGTTTTTTCCCTAAACATGGAGCCTTATAACTTGATGTTAAAAAGAAAAATTAGTTAACAATCACAAACTCTCAAACATGAAAAATTTTTTACAGATTCCCATTTAGAAGAAACAAATGAAGTTATAAGCATTGTTGTATTTGTTCACATCTAATATTCAAAATGGAATCAGGAATTGCTGCAATTACAAAAGTCAAGGTTAACATTTCGGCTATAATTCTTAATTGTATATGAAAACACTGGTTACATCTTTTGAAATCTGCCAACTCTTTGCCAATACATTTTGCTTAAAATTTTACAACTAAAGTGAGATTCATAAATATAACTCTTAAGAATGCTATGTGAACTTTTAACCTACTTGCCCCAGTAACTGCAGGGCTTGTTTCACAACACTGCTCTATGGCTCCACACGCTGGAGGCGGCTCAGGAAAGATGTTGCCAGGTATGAAAGGTTTGAGTTATAAAGAAAGGCTGATAGACTGGGACGTTTTTCACTTGACTGTAGGAGGTTGAGAGGCGACCTTATAGAAGTTCATAAAATAACGACAGGTATAGATAGAGTTAGTAGTAGTTGTCTTTTCCATAGGTTGGGGGATTTCAAGACTAGGGGGCATATTTTTAAGGTGAGAGGAGAGAGATTTGTAAAAGACATGAGGGGCAAGTTTTTCAACAACAAAGGGTGGTTCACGTGTGCAATGAACTTCCTGAGGAAGTGGTGGATGTGGGTACAATTATAAAGTTTAAAAGACATTTGGATAAGTACATGAATAGGAAAGGTTTGGAGGGATATGGGCCAGGAGCAGGCAGGTGGGACTAGTTTAGTTTGGATTATGTTTTCAGCATGAACTGGTTGGACTGAAGGGTCTGTTTCCATGCTGTATGACTCTATGACACAATCACATCATATAAACATTCACAAAAAAGGAGGAATTATTCTAATGTTTTAGATGAAGAATTCTTACCAGTGATATGCTAGGAGCAGAAACCTGTTCTTTTAATGCAGCCAGTTCCTTCTTTATTAATTTTTCCTCGTCCTAAAATCAAAAATATTTAAATGTTAAAACTAAAGGTAGTATTTAACTGTGACAATTTCAATTTGTATTGTATTGATTTATCAATGAAAACAGAGCACTCAAACAGATACCAACAACTTTTGTTGAATTCGTAATGTGATCATTAAGGCTGATATTGCCCAAGAATGCAATTTTACAAGCGCAGGCAAGATGCTTTTGCACTCATAAATTTATGTCAAAAATTCAAAATCTACATAAATGAAATTACATTTTACAAAAAAAATTAGAAGAATAGGATAGCAACTGTGGAACTTATTCAGAGTTTTCAGCGATACACAGACCCATAAGATAAATTAAGAAAACTACTGTACTTGGAATTCTACAAAGCTAAGGAGATATAGGTTCAGCTGTTGGTTCAAGTCAAACATTAGTTTAATATCAGGAAACTTTTTTTTGCAAACAATGTCAACACTTGGAAGGGACTCTGAGCAGAACAGCGCCAACTAAAAGTTTGGATACTATGATTGCATGGGGGTGTGCTGAGGAACTATGGGTTTCTTTCCAAATGAATCAGTAATGATAATCCAAATTACCTCCCCATCAATATTCATCTTATGATTACGTGTTTAAGCAGTAAAACACAAACTATTAGTTTCTTCTCAGTAGTATCCCTACAGTGTGGAAACAGGCCCTTCGGCCCAACAAGTCCACAACGACCCTCACAGCATCCCACCCAGACTCATCCCCCTATAACCCACCTAATCTACACATCCCTGAACACTATGGGCAATTTAGCATGGCCAATCCACCTAGCCTGCACATCTTTGGACTGTGGGAGGAAACCGGAGCAACCCCACGCAGACACAGGGAGAATGTGCGAACTCCACACAGACAGTTGCCCAAGGTTTGAATTGAACCTGGGCCCCTGGCGCTGTGACGCAGCAGTGCTAACTACTGAGCCACCGTTCTTACGGAAGTTTTAACTTGATTGTAAGATTTTTTTTTCTTAAGAGAGCTATGATGATCAGGAATACGTTGCCTGAAAGGGTGAACGTAGGACCATGGAAAATAGAAGGAAAATACTTGTCCCCTAAAACCTGCTCTACCAGTCAACTAGATTGTGGCTGATCTTCTCTTTTGGCACCACTTTTATGCAGTATGCCCATGTCCCTTTGATATACTTAATATCTGGAAATCTATTCTAGAGTCATAGAGCTGTACAGCACTGGCAACAGACCCTTTGGTCCAACTCGATCTCTATCTTGAGCAGACTGAATGACAGCCTCCAGAGCCCTCTGGGACCCACTTTTGGAATACTGCATACATTTCTGGTTGTCCTTCTATAGGAAGAACATTGTTAAACTTGAGAAGGTGCAAGAAAGATTTACAAGGATGTTGCTGGGATTGGTGGGTTTGAGCTATAGGAAGAGGCTGAATAGGCTGCAGCTTTTCTCCCCTGGAGGGTCAGAGGCTGAGGGGTGACCCTATACGGGTTTATAAAATCATGAGGGGCATGGATAAGGTGAATAGCCATGGTCTTTTTCCTAGTGTGGGAGGAGTCCAAAACTAGAGGACCTAGGTTTAAGGTGAGAGGGCAAAGATTTAAAAAGGACCCGAGGGACAACTTTTTCACGCAGAGGGTGGTGCGTGTATGGAACAAACTGCCACATGAAATGGTGCAGGTGGGTACAATTACAACATTTAAAAAGGCATCTGACTGGATAAATGAATAGGAAGGGTTTAGATGGATACGGGCCAAATGGTGGCAAATGGGACTTGGTCAGATTGGATTGTCTGGTTGGCATGGGCGAGTTGGACCAAAGGGTCTATTTCTGTGCAGTTTGACTGTATGACTCTAATTCAAATGATTCACCCTCTGAGTGAAGAAATTCCAAGTTTGTGTCCCTTGGTTCTTTCCTGCATCTACCCTGTCAAGTCCTGTAAAAATGTTGTAGATTTCAATGAGATCACCTGTCATTCTTCTAAATTTGACAGAATATAAGCCCAATCGCCTCATAAGACAATCCAACCATCCCAGGGATCAATCAGGTGAACATTATCACACTCTTTGTAATGGCAAATATATACGTCCTTATATCTAATTTTCCCTGCTACTATGCAGACTTCTGAGGTCTCTGCGCAGAAGTGACTTTTGGAACCAAAATTCAATGCAGCTACACGCTGACAGGACCGAGCAGAATTGCCAAGTAGCAATGCAGCTTAGAGGGAACATTCATAAG